GATATTTAGAGGAATTGGTTGTATCAAGAATTCTTGGTATGTAGATGGAGGATGGATCTCAAAAATGTGATGGTGATTCATTGGAGCTTCGCGAGCCTTATCTAATAACAATAGCAATAACTTCTTGGTCAGTGCTCCTCTTCCCTGTTGTAGAGATGGAGCACATACTCCATTTATCGCTCATGAGGAGAGAATAAATAACTCCACAACGTGCTGAAGACTTGTGATTTAGTGTGCATACAAATCTTCGTCTTCTATCAGGAAACCCCACTTTATAATGACAGGTGATAAGCAAGTATGTGGGATTTTACTGGGATGGGTTCGATTCGTGCCCTTGATATATGGGATTATTGAGGGTTGCAAATCTTTTCTCCAGATGACCAAGTTGGAAGCAATGATATTGATGTGATGATATGAAGGCAAATAACGCGAAATATCTGATATTTTTTCATTCCTCTATTGAGTATTCTGTAGACGTCATGCGTTGTATTAAATGGATTGTTTTGCTTAATATTTTTGTGTTTGTATAGACATTTGTATCTAAAATTCTTTATGTATAACAGGCTAAACCGTATCATGGAATTGATTTATTATTGCTTGACATTTTTACTATAATGTTACCTTAATTTTTATATATTATATTAAAAAATTATTATGCCGTGTCCACGCCGCACCCGTGTCCTATATTTTTAAAAATTGCCGTGTCCTGTGTCCGTGTCGGTGCATCATAGCGCATTACTTATTACTTTTTAGAGCAGGACAATCTCAATTTACGTGTATATTTTTTTTATAATCGAAGTAATGAATATCTTTTAGCTTTTGTTAAACTTCTGTCATTATTGAAGTTAGATCTCTTCTGAACTGTTGATCCATCAACTATTTTTTCATCTTCAACACACTTATGCTTAGCAAATTACATTTTTAGAAAAAAAAAGTTCATATTTCCTTAGTTGATGTGTGTATCTCTATCATTAAACATAGTGTCAGAGAAGGGCTTGCAAGATGGAGGTAAGAAGTATAAGAACAAGTGATTTTCATCATCAAGAATCATATAAATATTCCTCAAATATCAATTAATGGAATCAAATGTGATTTAGTGGATATATTTTTGTAAATGTGAGCCAATTTTAATCTCTACTTTTAATAAAGTTTATTGGAGAAGTCTTATATAAAGATATCAACTTGAACACATGCCTTTCACAATTATTTTATCAAAGACTCATCTGCCAAATATAGTTGAATAGCCGATAAAACTTTTTCGTTCTATCATGGCTTCTTAACCCATGGCCTTAGGCGCAAAACCATATGTGTGTCTTCTAAAGTTCTTATTAGATGAGAACATTGTGCATATTGGTTCTCTAAAGCTCGAAACACTTTCAAACATTGAATTTCTCTATATCAAATTCCATAATCAACATATTCCCCATTGACCTCAATCTAATATCACTTGCTTATAAAAGCACTGTAGTTTTATTTAAAAGCATCAATCACTGAGAAATATGATAAACACTCAAAATAAAATAAAAGATGTCAAGCACCATCCAAAGAGATTGAGATTTATGTGATTTAATTAATCAAGTGTACGCCTATGAGAGAGGAGAGAGATTTTGACCCATCGAACAAAAAGCTACAAATTAAGTCTTAGATAAGCATAGAGAACTCTTAAAGCATTTTCTACCATTGATTGATTCAAATATATCCCTAAAAATTTAGAGCAAACCCTGGAGGGTTGTATTTGGCTCACAACAATAAGTGAACCCCACTTGGTTTGCTTTAGGGTCGATACTTGTGATTCATTTTTCCTAGGTAATCTGTGAGCGTCCCTAGTTGAGCAGTCTATCATGAGCTTGCATGCTTGACGCTTTGGTTTGTGCATGGTGTCACTATGTTATAACGCCTAGGTTGTCCGCTTGCATACCTCACACATTTACTACCATATCTCAAGCCCATTGTTTATCAGTATTACCCTTTTTACAAATTTAAGTTAGTGTGATCCACCTTGAACTTTGATTGACTTATTAATTAATACCTGTCAAATTTTTAGCACTTTTAGCCTTAAACTAATGTGTTAGAGACTACATGAGTAAACCCTAGAGTCATACTATCATCTATCTTACTCTATTCATAGTTTGTTAAAGATGATCCATGATCAAAATTGACCTTGTGAGATGTGAATGCTTTTGTTTGTTTTCTATTTTTGGCGGGGGAGGATAATTGAGGTTTAATTTAAGATCTTTGAAGGAAACTAAATTATTTTCCAATTTATCCTCTTCAATAGAGTAAAATAAAGAAAATATGATAGTTAATTTAAAATTCAAGCGTCACCAGCTAATAACTATTTTGCAAGTAGATATGGGCTCCGAAAATTTGCACCCTGGCCTCTCTGCGGCCCCATTCTCTTTTTTTGGGTCGTCGAGGGGAGTTTTAACGTTTAAGTTACAAGACATATTTTCATAAGACATATTGGGTTTTAAATAAGACATCACCCATAGATTTCGCACTCATTTTGTGAGGACTTAATGATACGAGTTCAAGTTTTGTATAGGCGCAAGTCCCTATAGTTAATTACCCATCCCGATATTGAGAGAGAACTTTCGATTAAGGCTATTCGTCAAACAAATACATAGTATATGGAGTATAGTAGTAGTAGAATTTAGTACTTGAAAATTAAAATTTATGTCACTACACACTTCGAGCGGATTATGGGTGGAAAGATGATAAACCCGATCAAGATCCCATGGTTCCGTCGTCCCAGTTCATCATGGTCTCTAGTCTACTTAGTCAGAGAAGATAGTTGACCAAATCTGTAGAAAGATCCTTGTAGGCTGTCATGGATTGCTTCATCCAAGAGTACCTTGTAGACCTAGGGTGAATGTTTGTCTAAGGGATTAAATTTGAATCTGCCTTAGCTAACAGACGGCTTGTGCCCTTTCGATCATATCCTATTGATTCATCACTCAAAGATTTCTAGTCGTTGGGGAACATACGGGCTCTGACCTTGACCATAATTTAATGGTGCCATTTGGCATCAAAACCTCCCGATTAGAAGGTCTCGATTATAATTGTTTACCTATGGTGTCATTTGGCGGTGGAATCACATGTTAATTGACGTGGCATGTCCTTACTGACAAGAGACAATTTGAAAATGAATCATAGTGATATTCTCAACTAGACATTTGCTCTTTGTGAGTTGAGGTGATTTTCTAACTTGTTCACCCCGATAAAGCATTGCAGAGGGTAGATGGATTTTGCTTTAAGTATTTTGATATTTTTATTTCAATTTTAAATATTTAGGTTTGATGACTTTTGAGTTTTGACTTTTCATAGGAATTTGAGAGGCATTTTAAATGTTTGTGGTCCCCTTCGGTTGAGATTTTTCATCAAAATGGCCATCATCGGGATATTTATGGACACTTTTTCATTTTATTGGTCGAACCGTGTCGACTCTGTCTACTTGCTGACATAGGATCGAGTTTGTTGTCGACTTTAACTTTTATTAGTGAATCGTTTTCGTTATAGACTTTGAAGGCCTAATATGAACATGTAAAATAAATATCCTGGTCAATGCTACGATCATATATTTATTTGACAGTTTGAGTTGTATTGATTCTTATATATTCACATAGAAGGATTAGACTTGATCTTAAGTTCATTTTTTTACCCGCGCTATATCCTCAGATTTCATGTGTGTACGTACATCATGCTCATCGGGGCCCATGCGGGTATCTAATTACATGTATGCATATATGTTGACATTTACATTTGCACACCGCTTAATCGTGCTTGAATGATGTGTTTTACGTTTTGTGATGTGTATACGTATGATGTGAATGCATTAGTGTGCATTTGAATGCATGGGGGTGCTTTTGCAACTTTTGAGTATGATTTATTGTAAAATTATATATAAAAGCATTCAAATGCCTTTTGTTCACTTGTATCGATGTTGCGGATCCGGTGGCGCAATTTAACAGCACATTGAGCTTCATTTGTTGCGCATAGGTAGTGCAGCTTAGCTCATTTTTTCTTCTACGAGCTATCAAATTCTTCAATATTTAGCCTGCAGGAATATATTTTGCCTGCAGATATGCTATGTGATGCATCAGGGGCCTCCTACCTGTCGCTTGCAAGTAAGCTGGTATATGGTGTAATAGCCTAACTCCACAAGTTTATTGCCTCACTTTATCAGTGGCCCCGCAATTTTTACTACCGATTATCTGCTTTTGCTTACAAGTGAATCGTAGCGTTGCAAGCTTTATTTAACACTGCTTCTGGTCTAGCGCTACGTTTTTAGTAATCGACAGCTATTGCATGTAGGTGGACTACATTCAACGCGAATCTTGAAACATTGCTTGTAAGCGGGTCGTAGTGTTATGCTACGAGTCGCTTGTGGCTTCTTGCAAGCGAGCTGTCGTACACTAACTAATCTCCTATAGCGGCTAATAGGTTCTTGCATTTATCACAGCTTTTAGTGCAACTACCCATAAATGTACTGTTATTCTTCAAAGAATCTAACCCAACTTTCCTATCTTAGTGCAACTACCCATACACCAAACCTGCGCACAAGGGGGGGAAAAAAAATCCTTGTCCTCATTTTTCCTATTTCCATGCACAAAACAAAGCCGAAAATTGCATACTACCAGCTTTTCGAATCAACCATGCAACACCCCAAGAACATGAAAGCTTGCTTAGAAATAGGAAAGCAGTTCGATTTCATCCAATTTTTTTCGCAGATCCAATGCGATGCAAGTTGCACCAAATAAACCAATCTTCAGTCAGCATTTTAACATCAGCTGCTTTGAATTATGAAATCCAGAAAACAATCTTCAGTCAGCATTTTAACATCAGTTGCTTTGAATTATGAAATCCAGAAAATACTTGAACACCAATATCGAATCAATACCTTGCGGTTCCATTTATCTAAGCCGTTATTGTTACTCATAATTCCACATTAAGTTTGAAAAATCTGTTATTACTCCTTTTTGCATTCCTGCTTTAAACAGATTACATTACCCATTGGGGTTCCTAATGAGCTTCTGTATGGAAGAGCTGGATACCTGTGGGCTTGTTCTTTCCTTAACAAGCACATTGGAGTGGGAACAATCCCTTCCACCTATACAGTGAGTTGTGCTCTTACTCAACCTCTTACATCTCCCTTTACTTATACATTGAGTAATGAATTTTGCGGTAAACTACTTAGGATTCAATAGTAAAGGAAGTGATTAGAGAAGGAAGGAAGTTATCTAATAAAGGAAGCTGCCCTCTGATGTACGAATGGCATGGCAAGAAATACTGGGGAGCAGCTCATGGTCTAGCAGGAATCATGCATGTTCTGATGGACATGGAACTGAAACCCGAAGAGAGAGAATATGTTAAAGGCACCCTCCTCTACATGATCAAGAATCGTTTTCCAAGCGGCAACTACCCCTCCAGTGAGAACTCTGAGACCGACAGACTTGTTCATTGGTGTCATGGCGCCCCTGGAATCACCCTGACCCTAGTAAAAGCTGCTCAGGTGATTCCTATCTGACAATTCTTCATACTTTTCATCCTTTGTGATGTTCAACAATGGCTACAGGTGTTTGGTGATGAGAGATTTTTCAAAGCAGCTGTGGATGCCGCAGAGGTGGTGTGGAATAGAGGTCTATTGAGGAGAGTTGGGATTTGCCATGGAATTAGTGGAAACGCCTATGTGTTTCTGTCATTGTATAGGTTGACGGGCAATGCTGAGTACCTGTACCGTGCGAAAGCGTTTGCCTGCTTCCTCCTTGACAGAGCTCACCAGCTGGTTTCAACAGGTCAGATGCATGGTGGTGATAATCCCTTGTCATTGTTTGAAGGCCAGGGTGGCATGGCCTATCTCTTTCTCGACATGACCAGCCCCACTGAATCAAGGTTTCCTGCTTATGAGCTTTGAATCTCTCTCGTTGAAGTATAAGATTTCGTTTGGGACAGCTTTCTTACTGCTTCTTAAAGCAATTTTAATTTTTGTACTAAGAAGTTACTTTAAGAAGCAATAAGAAAGCTGTCACAAATGAAGCCTAAATGTAACACTGCATCAAGGTTTGGCTTACTGTTCAGTTAGAGCTGAGCTTTGCGTCTCCTGTGAACTTCTGCTATGGTCTGAATTAAAGCTAAACTAACCCAATGGTAGCTAAATTTCTAAGAATTTAGCTTATTTTGATCTTCTGCAATGAACTGAATTTTTTTTTCTTACTGTTCGTTAATTTACTTGGTTTATTTGGATTGTTATACTGCAATTGTTCCTCGTTGCTCCTTAATTTGTACTATTAGAGTATAACACAGACGCATTACTATGTTTATTGACCATCAATGAGTTAGCATCATTCCAGCTGATAAGCACCACTGCCTTTTGTTCTGTGGAAGAAGTGGTCATATTTGTGGAGACAATGGGAAGGAATATGAATGATGGCAAATTTTGTAATATTTTGGTGAACAAAGTCTTATTATCTTATCCATCCTTACAAAGATGGAATAAAGTTTCTTTAGTTAAGACTTAAAGAGGGTTGCATTTGCTGAATGTGACTTCTTATTGTCATGATTTTTTTTATTGTATTTAAGTGTGGTGCTTATAAAATTCGAAGGAATGTGATTTATCGAGAAAAAAATATTATGAATAAGAAACTAATGCTTTAAAAAACCGGATTAGACCGGATCAGTTGTGCCGGTCTCTATTAATTTGTTAAAACTGTTTTTAAAGTTATAAATTATTGAACAGGCAGTTCAAAGGTTAATTGGCGAATCAGGTGCTAGGGTTTTAAAAACCAGTAATAAATTTTTATTTAAATAAATATTTAATGAATTTAATTAGGCTAAATGTTTTAATTAATGACTAAGTTTAAATTTTTATTAGTTTTATATTAAACAAAATAAAAAATACTTTACAAATAAGCCATGGTCCAAATATATCAATAATATATCAATGTGCTTTTTTTTGATGAAGGAAGTAAATAGGTTATGCAAATATAATATATAAAATTAAAATTTAATAATACAAATAATATTTAATTTTATAATAATTTTTTCCCAATTATATTAATTATCTATATAATTTTTAAAAATTTTTATCAGATATTTTTAATAATTGCAATAATATATAGTGAATTATGATTATATTTATAATATTAAATTGTGTATCTTTTCATATGTATAAATTATATTTTAAATTAATAATAAGTTAGAAATTATTTTATTAAATTTAAAATATAAATTAAATTAATTTTATTTGAATATGAAATATATTGTTTATTAAATATATGATTGTTAAATCTCTAACTTTATTTTTAATATTTGAATATTGATTGTATGATAAGATGAATTTGTGTTTAAGTTTATAAGTTTAGATCATCATTTTTATTTAATTTTAACAATTTATTATTATTTGCATACATCTTTAGACCTCCAATTGAACGATCGACTATGAACCCCATGTATTTGATTGTATTGTCCTACGATCCTGATGCAAGAACTTCTTCTATAATTAATTGTAGCTAGCTTATTGCTGCTTTGTTTCTAGGTTCTATGATCTCCTTTTGGTGATTGAGTAAAATATTTTTCTATTCTTTTTTTTTTTATAATTTTGTCTAATTGGGCCACGCTCGTGCCAATGGTTAGGTTATTCCGAACAGAATAAGTTCTTCCTGGATGCCTAAAAGTTTTATAATATGGGTATATATTTTATTTATTTGTTAATTATTTTTAAGTTACAATTTTTTTTTTTTTGAAAGATATGAAAGTAGTACAAATGAAATCTAAAGTTTAGTTTGTGTACTTTTTTTTTTATTGTTTTATTTCATGTCACAATAGTAATATTTTTATTTGTAATTGAACTTTTGTTGCTTTAAATAACTTTTATATTAAAATTTATTTCATATAATAATTTTAAAAAAATTATTTTCTCTAAGAGTTTTTTTCAAAACAGTAAGAAACTATCACAAATGAAATCTAGCTCCTATAATTATTCATATAAGGTTCTTCATTTTACACTTTATAGTATGTAGTGTTTGCCCAAGCTATCAAATCATTCTTTCATCTGAATAACCAAATGAATATTGGCTTAGATTTCCATGGCAAGTATCTATCTTCTAATATAGTCAACTAACATCCAATTCATCCTTATTTTCACCTTAACAAATAGCGCTATATTACTCAAACTATACATAGGTACCTACTAATCACAAAAACAACAGGAAGACTAGTTTTTTCTTATGGAATGTTATGTGAAGTTTAAATGCATTGTTACTGAAAAAGAAAACTAGCCTTAGAGCATCTCAACCGACGCCAAATGAGCATATGGCATCGTTCGGTCTCTCTAGCAGAATCGTCAAATTATTTTTTGTCAAATATACTTGCGGGTGAACAGTACGACGTCAATATTGGCGTCACACTGTTCACCTACGTTATTTTGCTATCTCAATCGGAAAAACGCGCAAAAGAGAGAAGGATCATTACCTTCGCAAAAGCACATAAAATGACGTTCGATTGGAGCACTGCGATATTTTGGAGTTTTGCTATATTTTGCTGTGAAAAATAGAGTTATCCGTTGGAGATACCCTTAACAGAGAAAAGTTACTACTTGGGACGGCAATTCTCCGTTGAAACTGCTCACTAACGTACAATAGTTTCAGCGTTCCCCTTATCTATCTGCAAGTATTTATATGTCTCTATGGTGCAAGCTGAGTTTCAGTAGAGAGAGATCTATATATGGAGAGAAGGAGAGTTCCTTGTTGTAATAGGACGGAGGTGAAGAAAGGTAGGTGGAGTGCAGAAGAAGACGGTAAACTAGTTTCGCACATTCAGAAGTATGATCATCAAAATTGGAGATCTCTTCCAAAACGAGCAGGTTGAGCTATACTTTCCCTCTTATTTTATTTTTTGTTTATTTTACTTATCTATGTAGTTCCTTTTGAAAGGGAGTCCAAACGGAACAGAGAAAGATGGAAGAAGACAGAAGCTTGGAAAGAAAGAGAGGGAAAAATGAATATGTTTCAAATTAATCAAAGTGTTACAGATATATATAATAAGCAGTAAGAGAAATGAATAAAAGAAGCTAGAGTACAATATAAGCTTATGGTAATCCCTGTTCTAATACCTTTTACTTTGCTTTCTTAATTCAGAGAATTATATCATGATGCACTCTATCAATAAGGCTAATGTTCATTGTTGGTGCTAATGATGACGCTTGCCATCATCGTCGATGCTGACGCATGCCAACACCAATAAACTCAAGGTTTTTAAAATCGAACCAGACCGATCGGTTCTCTTGTGAATCAGTCGGCCGGTCAGTTCATTTCATCAGAGGATCGAGCTTGCAGAAATTTGGAGGAAACCATTTGGCCCGAAAGTCGGACCGGCAAACCCGCGAACCATGGCCTGTTTTGAAAAACAATCTGGTTCAATTAAAACGAAATATCATCAGTTGGAATTAGATCGAGTGGTGTATGAGAAAATTTTATGAAAGAAAAAACAAATATTCCTATTTCAACCCCATCGATCTCCTCAAGCAGTGTATGAGAAAAATTATTGGTGTTGGCTGATTCACAATTGAACCGGCCGGTCCGCTTCGATTTAAAAACCTTGAGTTTATTGATGTTGGCATCATCACAACATTGACGATGATGGCAAGCGTCATCATTAGCACCAACAATGAACATTAGCCTTATTGATAGCATGCATCATGATATAATTCTCTGACCAAGAAAACAAAGTAAAAGGAACTACATAGATAAGTAAAATAAACAAAAATTAAAATGAGAGGGAAAGTATAGCTGAACCTGCTGATTTTTTGGAAGAGATCTCACAGCTTTGAATGATCATACCTCTAAAATGGTGCGAAACTAGTCTACTGTCCTTCCTCTGCAGTCCACCAAACCTTTCTTCACCTCCATCCTATTACAACAGGAATCTCCTTACTCCCATACATATATCTCTCTCTACTTAACCTCAGCTTGCACTTAGAGAAATATAAGTATCTTGCAGGTAGACAAAGGGGACTAGCTGAAAAGACTTATGTTAGTGAGTAGTCAACAGAAGAATTCCGCCATTTCGTGAGCTTTTGCCTATAAAGGCCTCGTTTTCCCTTTACAGTAAAGATATGCAATTAACTTCATAACATCCATAAGAAAAAACTTCATGTTGTACGGGGTTTTGTGATTTAGTACGTACCTCTGGTATATGTTTGAGTAATATAGCACATTTTGTTAAAGGTGAAAATAATTTGATAATTGGCTGTTAGTGACGATATTAGAAAAAGATTACAATTGCGATTTGGAAGATCAAAAGCCAATATCTCAGGATTAGATGTGGAAAGAGATTATTTGATAGCTTGGATACAATCCGATCGATTGCGTGCCCGTGCGGGCTTCAAGCTTGAACTTGTCGGATTCACTAAACCGGACTTCCAGCCCGACCTTCCTTGTACCACCTGCCGGCCGCCAATGTCACGATCCGACCCGATCGGACGGACCGCTCGCACGGGTCGCGACACGTGAAACGACAACTGACTGACGCAGGAAATTGGCTTTGGAATTTGCTTACTGAACTAAATCTTTCCAATTTTTCAACTCAAACACCAACACACAGAAAACAGCCGAGCTACTATAATCATCAAATGCAGCGGAACAACATCATCTATATTTTTCTTTCTTTCCTCAAACAATCATCTACAAATACGGGTACAATGGCTAACAAAGAAATTTACAGAAGAAAAGCCATGAACGTACAAAATCAAAAGTACAAAGTACATATCACAGATCGGACTCTGAAACTCTAGTCTGGACTTCCTTCCCTTTCCCAGAAACTGAAAATCACAGAAAACAGAGAGTGAGCTCAACAGCTCAGCAAGCAACAAACCTCCAATCAAAATTCTCAGAATCCAGAACAAGAATCAGACCAGATATCGGACATCTGGGGTAACAGAAATCAATGTCGGACAATTCATAACAAAACAGATCAAATCAGAACAAACTGACTGAACAAATTCAATCAAAAACTGAACTGTAACGGAAACAGAGTTCGTATCAAAATCAGAAACAGAACAGAATCAGACATATCAAATCAGAAACGGAATCGTACAGAAATCAGAAAGTCAGATCATATCGGAACGGAAACAGAATCGTAATCAGAATTCGTATCAGAATCATATCATACAGATCAGAATCGAGATTCATATCGTACGGAAATCAGAATCAGATTTG